AGGAAGGAAGGAAGGAAGGAAGGAAGGAAGGAAGGAAGGAAGGAAGGAAGGAAGGAAGGAAGGAAGAGACAATATGAGATTCCATCTTCTTCACATATTTCTCGATGTTTATTATCTGTACTTTTATTTTTGGCTATACTAAAGGGTATGAGATAATATTGAATTGTGATACTGATTTGCATTGCCATGAGACCTGGATGTTTGCCATTTTTCACACTTACTGGCTACCTCTATATTTTTTTGTAAAAAATATTCAGACCTTTTGTTCTTTTTTATGTGTGAGAAGTGAATCTTAGGTATCTCTGGCTAACCTCAGACCTGTCAGGTAGCTGAAGGTGATCTTGAACTTCTGATCTTCCTGCCTCTACCTCCCAAGTGCTGGGATTACATGCATGTGCCACCATGTCTGAATTATACGGTCAAGGGAATCAAACCCAGGGCTTCATGCATGCTAGGCAAGTACTCTACCAACTGAGTTGCACCCCCAGCCCTTTTTCTATCGTTTGTCTTGAGACAGAGTCTCACTATACTGCTCTAGTTTGATTAGAACTCACGAGGTAGCTCAGGCTGACGTCTCATGTTGCCATGACTCTCCTGCTTTAGCCTCCAGAGTCTGGGATTACAGGTGTGGGTCACCACACTAGTACCTTTGCTCATTTTTTTCCATTTCTTGTTTATTTATTTGCTTTTCTTTGCTCATTTTAAAGTGGAATATTTGCTTTTTTATTATTGAGTTGTAGTAGTTCTTTCTATATTCTAGATATATGTCCTTTATCTAACTATATGATTGCCAAAAGTTTTCTCCTAGTCTTTAGATTGCCTTTTACTTTTCATATTTATTTATTCATTGTATGTTTTGTCAGAGCAGGGAGGCACGTGTGCCAGGGCATGTGTATGGAGGTCAGAGGACAATTTACAGGAATCAGTTATTTCTATCATGTGAGTTCTAAGGATTGAACTCAGGTCATCAAGATTTGGGACATATGTTTTTACCACTGAGTCAATTTTCTGGTCCTGTCCTGTTTTGTTAGTGTCTTTTAAAGTACACCACTTTTTAATTTTGAAGCCAGTTTGTGTGTGTGTGTGTGTGTGTGTGTGTGTGTGTGTGTGTGTGTGTGTGTGTGTGTGTATGAACATTATTTTTTAATATTCCTTTAAGACCCATACAGAATGTAATTTTTCTTCTATTATTTATGCTTTTATTATCAAAGTTAAGAATTTACTGCCTAATCAAAGGACATGTTTCAGTTTCTTGAAATTCTTTGTTTTGTTTTGTTCTATATGGGTATTTTTCTTATTTATTTATTTACTTATTTGAAAATTAATATTGCACATGTTTATATATTTGTTTTTTTGTTTTTGTTTTTTGTTTTTTTCTCTTTTTTTCCTTATTAAGAAATTTTCTACTCCACATACTATCCACAGATTCCCCCTTCTCCTTCCTCCCTCCTCCCACCCCCCAGCCCTCTTTCCCAAGCCACCCCGCATCCCCACATCTCCCAAACCGAGGTCTCCCATGGGGAGTCAGCAGAGCCCAGCACACTGAGCCTAGGCAGGTCCAAGCCCCTTCCCACTGCGCCAAGGCTGTGCAAGGTGTCACACCACAGGCACCGGTTTCCAGAAGCCTGCCCATAGAGCAGGGATAGATCCCAATCCCCCTGCCTGGGTGCCCCCCAAACAGTTTGAGCCAAACAACTGTCTTCCATATCCAGAGGGTCTAGTCCAGTCCCATGGGGGCTCCACAGCCACCAGTCCACAGTTCATGGGCTTCCATTAAGTGTGGCCAGTCATCTCTGTGTGTCCTCCCATCATGATCTCTATGTCCCTTGCCTGCAGTATCTCTCCTCTCTCTCATCAGTTGGATTCCTGGAGCTCAGCCTGGTGCCTGGCCATGGATCTCTGTATCTGCCTTCATCAGTCACTGGACAAAGGCTCTGTGATGACAGCTAGGTTATTTGCTAGGCTGGAAGAGTAGACAGACCAGTCCAGGCACCCTCTGGACCACTGCCAGCAGACCAAGGTGGGGTCAAACTTGTGGGTTCCTGAGAGCCTCCCCAGCACCCTGCCTCTTCCTATTCCCATGATGTCATCATCTATCATGGTATCTTCTTCCCTGCCCTCCCACTCTGTCCCTGTTCCAGTTTGACCCTCCCCTTTCCCTATGTTATCATCTCCCACTCCTCGCCCTCTGCCACACCCCCACACATCCAGTCAGCTCATGTAGATCTCATCCACTTCTCCTTCACAGGGTCATCCATGTGTCCCTCCTAGGGTCTTTCCCTGTTAGCTAGCCTCTCTGGAGTTGTGGGTTGCAGTCTGGCCATCCCTTCCCTCACATTTAGTATCCACTTATGAGTGAGTACATACTATGTTTGTCCTTCTGAGTCTGGGTTACCTCACT